CTAGTGGCCTTGTTTATTGGGGGGGGGGGCAATGAAGCAGTGCATCCTGGTGGGAGTGATACAGAATTAAAATGCTCCCCTCCAGATTAAGAAACAAAGGGAAAGGAAGTAAAGAATGTAGGTCTAACTTCCCCTCAAGCTATACACCCAATGAGTTAAGGAATTCTCATTAGGCTCCACCTTTTAAAGGTCCAAGCATCCTCTGTTAGTGACTCCAGGAACCAAGCATTTAAACCACAATCCTTGAGGGGTCAGTTGGAGAGGACATTCAAGATTCAAACTATGGCAGCTTCATATTCTTTTAATTTATATTCCTCTTCTATTATCTTTCCATTTAAGCAATGATGTACACTGGTAGAATTTGTGTTATTTCTGCTTGTCACCAATTTGTGGTGGTAAGTGAATATTGTTTCAGACAGCCACATTTCACACATATTTTTGGTTTATTTAATGATTCAGTTTTTAATGGAAGTTTAGGTGCCTGATCATTTTTGGTCTGGTTATAATGATAATATTTTGGTTTTTAGAGAAACATAACTTATTAAAACTGCCAAATTGAATCCTGAATGTCCTCACCACCTGAATGCTCAAGGATTTGTGCACATACTCAGAAAATCAAAATATTGAGGAGACTAGACATTTTATTGTCCACTTAAGCAAAGTGGACAGAAGAGTTGCAACATGGGTAATAGCTAATTTCATGAGGAACGTGAATAGTTCAATCTGAAAAGCGAGTGTTCCTTACCTTAAATCAGGGCCAAACAAGGGTTCAGGCAGTCTGCTTGGAGAGCAAGTCTTGGGAAGATAAGAAAAATTTTAAAAAGTAACAGTGAGTTTAGGAAAGTCACATCCCAAAAGTTCCACCTGGTAAGTTATTTTATATAACTGCAAGTGGCAATCCAAGACACTAAGTAAAGTACTTCTTTGAATGCTTCTTTTTGAATGTGTGAGGTTTAGTCATTTAAACCTATTATTCAATATTTATATTCCCAATTGAAAGTATTATCCCTTTCTGCATGTCTCATAATATCATGCTATTCTCAGTACTGCAGCCTTCCATCAGGGAAAAAACATAATTATAATGTCTGTATTCCTGAGCCCTCTGCAAATGAAAACTGAGAGAGAGAAGAGAATAATTTGTGCTCACCTTTGAATTGCTAAGAACGACTGCTTATGAATAATTGTAGAATTACTAATGATCCGATGCATGCATGTATTCATTCCTTAATTTCCATCTACTTTCAAAGTGCTCGCTTGCTAGCAGCTGCAGTTCCATGGACCGGTGACATAGCATGAACAAAACAGACCAAAACCACTGCCATGATGAAGTTTATATTCTACCTGAGTGAAAAAGACCATAAAGCTGCAAAATCTGTCCTGTTAGAAGGCCATAAGTACTATGGAGTAAGATAGCCAGGCGAGAAGTATAGAAACTATTGAGGACCTCAAAGTATTATTTTCTATTTGGAGGTACTCAGGTTTGAAACAAGGATGTCATGCTGGCTAGATATGTTCTCTACCACGTGATTCATACCCACAAGCCCTTTTGTGCTATTCATTACTTTTTTTGAATTAGGTCTCCTATTATTCCTGGGCTAGCCTCTGACCATGATCCTCCAACTTCTACCTCCTGAGTAGCTGAGATGACAAGTAGACACCACCAGGTCCATCTTGTTTGTTGAGATGGGAGTCTCCCTAACTTTTTGCCTTGTTTTTCCTTGAAGTGTTATCCTCCCAATCTCCACCCTCTGAGTAGTGGAGATTGCGGATGTATACCTTAGATGTCATTTTAAACAACGAGGAGGCTCACATACATATAGTAGGGAGGAACATAAAAGGCAGAGTGAAGAGTAAGAACAAGGGTTCTATGGGCAGAGTGGATCTGCTCTTCCATGAGGAAGTAGCTGGTGGCAGCTGGAAGAGAGGAATCAAGAGCAAAGAGAAGAGCAGGTGATAGGGCAGAGAAGTGGCCACAAATACGTCATGAATTTTGTCACACATTGTAACAACTGATATTTACATGAGACAAAACACATATTGTGTGCTTTCTTCTTGGCTCAGTCATGTTAAAGAAATGATAGAGCTTATTATGGCATATAGAGTAGGACATTTTAAGCAGAAAAGGGGTTGATGAGTTGTGATTTTGCTGAAAACTATCAGATGTGTTGGGAGAATCTAGGGCGCATGCACAGAAGGGAAATTCGTGGGAAGACTATTGTGCTATTACGGAAGAATACTGATGGCGCCTGGCACAGGGCTGTAGCGTGGAAGTGATAGCAATGTCCCATTTCTTGGGATGCAGTCATGTGCTTTTACTGATGGAAAATTCAAAAAATGCAGCAACCATTTTATTTGCTGTAAAAATAAAAGAGCCAGACCTGGTGGCACTCACGTAAACATATACAATCTTAGCTACTTGGGAGGCTCAGATGTGGAGGATCACAAGTTTAGGATAGCCTATACAAAAAAAAAGATTGGATCTGAACTCAATAAACAACAGGCATTGTGGTATGCACCTGTCATCCCAGCAACATGGAAAATTTTAATCAGATGGCTGAGTCCAGGCCAGAGAGATCAAATAGTAAGAACCTACCTGTGAAATAATGAAAGCCAAAAGTTCTGAGGGGCATGGCTCAATGGTACAGCCCTTTCTGACAAGACCCTAGGTTTAACCCCTAGGACCACCAAATAACATAAAAAGAGAGGAAAAATGTATTTATAATCTCATAGCTGATACTTTAAACAGAATTAAAAATTATATTGTAAAGACATCAGAGGATATGTGATTCTTCATATGAACTATGTTCATTAAATTTGTTTTTACAAAATTGCTACAGATACAGGTATCTGCACACACACACACACACACACACACACACACACACACACACCTGAGTTACAAAATAGATTCACTGCACCATCTAGTGGTAGTACTAATCTCAATCTATAGCAGAATACATAAAGGTTCAGTCATTTGTATAAAATGCTGAAATATATAAAGAAACTCTCTATGGAAAGAGGGTAGTTGATCAAACAAGTATGACTAGAGATTAGACAAAAGATATCCATGCTCAAGTCATCTTCAGCATAAACATGTCCTTTATTCTTTAAACAGATCCATAAATTAAGGTTTTTCTCTTCCAGTCTCATTTCTTTCATTTGCTAATGTATTAACATGCATATTAAATGCATTCTATACACATTTTGCATATCAAGTCCCATACTAGATCTAGATACTGAATATAGGGAAGTCTCTGAGAAAGTCTGTATCCTTAAGGAGTAGACTTGGTATGGTGTTGGGGGAGGAATATACCTATAAAAATTTTATCATATAATACAATCATCAAAATATAGCACAGCAAAATTCAAAGACTGATGGCAAGTAATAACTTTAGTTTCAGTGAAAATGTCCCAGGACAGGTGATAATTCTAGTGTTTTGTTTTCCATCATCTGCCAAGTTCCAGTCTCCTCTCATGATAAAGGCATATTGAGTTGATCCATTTGCATCTAAATATTTAATGCAAGGTCGCCAGATTGAAGTGTCTAGAAATGTCATATTCACAACCTGTCTGCTTCATTCATCACTCGTCTCAGGAGCAGCTTCCAAAAGATGGGGGCAGGGGGTGGAGTGAGAATGCTTGATTTCAAATGCAGAACCGTCCACTCTCTTGTTGAGTTCTGTAACTTCTTGTCAAGTTATATAACTTGACTATTGCCATGCTTCTCATTTATATAATATGAAGATCACAGCTCCTAATTCATAAGACTAAGGCAATGAGGTAATCGTTGTTATACCTCCGGCAGAGGCAAATGAGCACTTGCTAAGTGTTTCTAGTTACAGTCATCAATCTTCTATGTTTTCCATTATCAGGGCCTTTCTTCTCTGCACTTGAAGGGGAGGTTGACCTACCGGACTGACATCTGAAATTGCCCTAAAGCACTTAGATTTCAAATCAAGTTGATATTTACATAAAGGTGGCATGAGAATTTTACATGTATGTTCTGTTCTAGCCATGTCTTCTCTGCCTTTGAACTGTTAACTCTGTGTGTGTGTGTGTGTGTGTGTGTGTGTGTGTGTGTGTGATGGTCCTGGGGCTTGAGTCAATGCCATATGCTCTTTTAGTCTTGCTCTATTATTTCTGCTCATAGCTGGCACTTGAACCACATTTCCATTGTCCTGAACACTGTTTATTTTCATATCTTTTCAGCCTTTTAAACATTGAATTAAATTATGACTTTTTTTCTCCCAGGAGAGGTTATTATCCATTTTTGTATCTTTTGCTTGAATTTCTATTATTGAATCACCTTGGAAGCACAGCACATTTCAGTAGAACTAGGCATTCTGTCTATATTTTAGCAAGAGACAACAAAGTTTAAGCATCTATCAGTTGTCTTGGTTATACTACAGAAAAAGAATTTGGCCTATTTTTTCTTCAATTCTTTTGTACTAGAAAAGTAAAATGCAAAAAAGTGAAAGTACCAGTTTCATACCTGTATTCTGAGAACTAAATGTTTGTTTTACTCTTTAAGTATTTAATTTTCCTATTCTAAATAATGTGACAACTTCCTCAGAGAAATGTCTAAGATTATTTAATCAATGTGCATAATAAGTTTGACCAAGGTATTACCAAGGACACTGCTGAAAGAGGACTCACCCAGAAATAAAATAAAATGATAAAAAAAAAAAATAAAATGTATAAGGATTGATCCTTTAGGGATTCTGTCCAAGAAAACCAAGAACCTTTAACTAACGTTTCTCAAATTTCAGCTTTGAAGTATTTAGACCAAAATTCTTCTGTGTGGATCTGACCGTGTCTGTGTGCTGTCATGCATAGACGTGAGCAAATCAGTCTTTTCAAACCCTCAACTTCATTTACTGGTGGAATCCAAGGGTAGAATCAAAATCAGACACTGAAAAGGGAGAGGCTGCCTGCAATTACCTCATTTCTTTCGTAAACTCATTAACTGAGAAAGGATGTTCCATTTTTCCTTCCCACAGGACCTGATTGGGGATCTGAAAGAGCAACTTTCTTCTCACTTCAAAGAAGTTATGGTGGGCCTCATGTACCCACCCCCATCTTACGATGCTCACGAACTCTGGCATGCCATGAAGGTAGTGATCTAACCCAAAACACCTGTCACCTGCACACACTGCTAAGCCAATAGGGAGAAGTCTGTCTTTGGATGCTTCTTATTTGTATGGCTGGGGAAGATAAGAAAGATGACTTACATCACTATATACCTGGGAAAATGAAGTGGCCCAGTGAGGTGCTGTAAGGAAACTCAGTTGTGAGAAACAGAGAAGCCACCTGGACTCTCATCTCAAAGACCAGCAACCCAAATGCAGCTAGCACAAAGCTTCTATAGGCCAAAACTGCACCACGTGTGTGGAATCAAACCCAACAAAAGCGTTGTACATGAGCGAAGCAAACCAGATGAGCACACTTACACCTAATAGAAAAGCAAACCATCTAGGGAAACAATCAGGGGAAATCAAGAGTTAATTATCTAGGGGAAGCATAGAACAGTCTCCTTACTTCATTGTAGCCTTGTTAGGAAGAATGCATCTCCAGAGTTCAGTGGCTTAGATTAGCTCATTCTTTGGTTGTACAAAATCAGATGTACTAAGCCATCTCCAAGTGAGATTTAAACAAACAAACAAAATAGCTCCCAATGTTACTCATATTTGAGTCCTATCCTTGGTATATATTTTTATATTGAAAGGGATTTTTTTAAATCTTGTGTTTGAAAGTTATCTGGAAGGATTTGATTCTGAATCCAACTAAGATACTGAATTAGAGACAAAATAAAAATCAAATTTGCATTTATTTTATGACCTTTAGATAATCCTTTACAACTACTGCTTGTGCTTCAAATTTTTGCTTCTGATAGGTTAGAATTACACTTTTTTGCAGAAAAGTGATTTCCATGAGACAAATTGACTACAGGTTTGTTACAGACTTTGTTTTCTGGGTATGTGGGGAAAACAGTCTTATACTCCTTTCAAATGCTGGCCTTGACCATGTGTACAACTGTTGAAGTCATTCTAACATGGCACATGCTAATGGTCAGATTACTGTACTCTGTAAACAGAGTGTGGCAAGAACAAGCAAGAGATAACCAATCAACCAATCCAATCAGTAAGCAAACCAACATAGATGTTCATCATCATAGCTAGCTGTGGTATACATTCATACGAATTGCCACAAATCACTTTATTTAATGCTGCATGCCAACTCCAGTTTTTTACCAAAATATCTTTCTGCCATTGTGACCAAATGTATAAGATCATATGCTACTGATATCAATATTATATCAATATTTACTAAAATGGTCAAGACTCCTGCAGCTTTCTGGAATGTAAGCATAAAAAGGTGTTTTGACATTAAAATCATCGTCACAGTAGACACATTCAGATGCATATGGTTGGTGCTCAGTCCAAAAGTGTAGAGCAATTGTACAAAAGCCCGCACTTAGGAAAACACAGGGACAGGTTCCCAAAAGTCCTTGGGCAATTATAAGGCCTGGAGTCAAACATTCTGCTTGCTTCTAAACTGAAGAACAGAGTTTCCCATTGTTAATATTACCCTCAGGGAGAATCAAACAATTAGGACATAGCATAGCCACAGTTAAATTGAGTCTTTTTTAATACATTCCCATATACATATACATCTATATATGTTATTGTAAAAAATAGTGTACATGAGTAATGAGTACATTTCCTATAGAGCACTGTTACCTCCTTTGTTTTTCCCCTACCATCCCTTCCCTCCCCACCCCCAAGTTGTAAAGTTCATTTTCAACATAGTGTCTTGTATATCTAATCTCATTGGTACAATGGGTCAACCTGTATCCTTATTTAGGCATTTTGTTCTTTCCCTTCCTCTCCCCAAATTATAAAAATGTATATACAAGATGCAGGGCACCGACATCAAATAGTGAAAACAGGGGTTATACCATGGAGGAAGAACATTAAAAAGAAATAACAGTCATGTAGTATGTTATAAATACAATAGCAAGAAAGATAAAACCATTGTGTCCCTGTCTTGGGGTTCATTTCACTTAGCATCATCTTATATGGTCATATGTACATAGTTTTTGGTCTTTTCTGCTTGTCCTAGACATATACTAGTTATTGCAAATAAGGAAACCATGGGACCTATGTTTCTCTGGTCTACTTAATATAATTTTTTCCAAGTCTTTCCATTTCCTAACAAATAGGGTGATGTCATTCTTTCTGATGGAGGCATAGAATTCCATGGTGTATATACATACGTATACATATATATATATACATATATATATATATATATATATGCCACATTTTCCTGATCCATTTATCTACTGAGGGGCATCTGGGTTGGTTCCAAAACTTAGTCAACACATTCTCTTCTTCCTTTCTGCTCTGCTACCTCTGAGGACAGCAGGAATGTTTTGTTGCTATATGGTAGCTCAGTTAAACTTTCCTTCCAGGTAGAAGTGGCTTGTGTGTCTCTCTGTCTTTGTCTTTCCAGGGAGCAGGCACTGATGAGAATTGCCTTATCGATATTTTAGCTTCCAGGACAAATGGAGAAATTTACCAGATGCGAGAAGCCTATTGTTTGCGTAAGAATATATGGAGATAAGCATATATTATACCTAAGTATTTTTTGTATTTGTTCCTTGTATTTTTAACACAGAAGAATAGTCCAGTTTATGTATTTTTGAAGAATTCTAAGTCATGCTCACATTGGAAATATGACTCACTGGATTAGAATAGTAATTTCTAATGACAAGGGCGCAGAAGGGAGGAAGGCTGAAGAGACGTTAGTTGAATAGTACATTGAGATAAGAGGAGTCAGTTCTCATATTAATGTGACCAGAGTTGACAGTAATACTTCACATATCTCAAAAGACCCGGCAGAGGGGATTGTGAATGTATTTACCATTAAAAGATGACAAAAGATGATCATTATACTCATTACTCATATTTGATCATTATACAATGTACCCATGATTTAAAGCATCATAAATACATAAAATTATTATGTCTCTATCATAAGAACAAAAGTAATAGAAACAAGAATATTTAAAAAGAAAAATAGGACTTACTCAAGACCAATTAACTCATTAAGTAAAATTAATGATTAGCAAACAAAAAATCAAATGATTTCCTAGAAAAATCAAGCATTTTCCCCCAGGATGTAATTATAAGTAGCTATGCAGGAAATGTTTTCACTATGACAACAAAGCAGCCAGAACCTTGATTTAAGGGGATTTTATCTCTTTCCCAGGAGATTCCAGGAATACAGACAAAGTATGATCATTGTTCAACAAATTCTAGCAACATAATGTTCACTGTCTATAAATCTCCTAATACCTGCAATCCACCCAAGAAGTTAGGTTTTTACACAGTCAAGAAGGGTAACTGTCTTCATTTTCTAAGAAAAGTTAATGCCTTAAGTCCCATTCCATTGTGTATTATGCAATATCCACACGATGACCTGAAACAAGACTTTTCCAAGGGAGGTGAAGTAAGATGCTTCTCTTAAAATATCCCAATGAGATGAAGCACTTGGGGAAAATGCTCAGGTGGGCAGCACACTATATAAATTGCGAAATTAGAGGTTGTGAAGTACTGTCCATACTCTTTCTCAATTTTGGAATGTAGTTAAGTTTGGGGTTTTTTTTAAGACAATGAGCCCTTTGACAAAATTACAACTAACTCACAGATTCCTTTGGAAGATAGTTTGTTGACTAAAAAGACTTTAACATGGCGATTGTATTGCCTATGCTTTATATTCATTACCGTGGAGAAGGGCATCAACTTAGTCAAAGCACAAGGGTACATAGATCTATAAAAAAACACACACACACACACTCTTGTCACTGATAGTTCATGCCAGCCTTGGCAGGAAAGCCCATAAGGCTCTTGTCTCCAGTTGATCACCACAATAGCCAGAAGTAGATTGAGGGAAGGGGCAACATTGTCCAAAAAGAAATGTACCCTTTCCCTGACTTATTTAAGTATAATCCCTATGTACCTCACCTCTATAATAGCAATATTTTTTAAGCCAGAACAATAACTCAAGTGCTAGAGCACTAGCCTTGAGCACAAAAGCTCAGGGACAGTGCTCAGATCCTGAGATCAAGGCCCAGGACTGGCACCAAAAAAATTAATAAAAATAAAATACAATAAAACCATACTCTAAATGTGGATATTTCCTTGTCCAGAATACAGCTCTAACCTGCAAGAGGACATTTATTCTGAGACCTCGGGACATTTCAGAGATACCCTGATGAACTTGGTCCAGGTGAGATATTGCAAAATTCATACTGCTCTTGTGTTATTAAAAGAATAGGCATACGGGCTGGGAAGGTGGCTCAGCGGTAGAGTGCATGCCTTGCAAGCATGAGGCTCTGGGTTCGATTCCTCAGCACCACATAAACAGAAAAAGCTGGAAGTGGCGCTGTGTCTCCAGTGGTAGAGCGCTAGCCTTGAGCTGAAGAGCTGAGGGACAGCACCCAGGTCCAGAGTTCAGGCCCCATGACTGGCAAAAAAAAAAAAAGAATAGGCATACAACATTTCAAAAAGTAAGACAGAAGACGAGTATATTATAATTCATTATTTTTCATAGTAATATTTACTACCCATCAGCCAGATTAAAAAAATCAACTAGAATCTTATCTTTGATAGGGAGATAAATATGAATGTGCACCCAGCTCTTCTAAAACGTAAGGTTTACCATACTTTAACTAATTGTAAATATATGCATAAAAATTTAGCTATCCTGTGAAAATTTAAAAATTAAGATGTTACAATTGTAATTTTTGATTCAAAATATAAATTATTCTCATGTGTTAAGCCATTTAAATCTATGAGATTTTGTTTGGGGCATACGGCTAACTTTTTTACACAGCTATATACGTACTATATGATTCATCACTTAAAAGCTCTTTAAATGTTCTTACAAGCACTGTAGAGATGAAGAAACAAAGAAAAATATAAGATTCTACCTCTCTAATGGTCTTACAAAAAGACAGAATTTAATTGAATCCTATAGACTCTTGGTTTCTTGGTGAAGGCATGAGATCTCTCTGTTCTGTATTAAAAATTCTGTTATACTATGGAATTACCAATGATGAACTTCCTTGGAATTAAAATTATATTCTGTCATTTGCTTTACTTAAATGGTATATAATTATTGCTACACAATTGCCATTCCTTAAAAGCATCTCATATGTAAACATTGTGATGAGGATACTATGAAAAGGTCTGATTATCTTTTGTTTTATATATAATTTTATATGCCTGCCTGTCACTCTATTTAACAAAGGCATTCAGGAATACAAAACAAAAGTGAGTCAATGTTCAGCTCTTAACTACTCAAAGAGAACAGAGAAGCTCACAGAGCAAGCAATGTTTCTTTTTGTATGGTTTTTATTTGAGGCAGTATCTCACAATGAGGCCTATGCTGGTCTTGAACTTATGATTCTCCTGCTTCAACCATCTGAGAGTTGGATAATATGCATGTACTACCAATCAGGAAAATGTCTTCAAGGCAGGAATTTTTTGTTTGTTTGATTTTCTTTTGGATGGGTGTGGAAATGTATCTGAAATGAAATAAGTATGTCCACGTCTACAGCCTTTCCTAAATAACTGAGTATAAAACACCACTGAGTCATTAACGAAGAATTTCATTAGACAGTTGCACAAAAGAATGTTGAAAGAAAGCAGAAACAGAATCGCTTTTGGTGGGAATTCAGTGAAAGATTGGTACCCAGGATAGAGACTCTGGGAGAGGAGTCAAGAAAGAGAATCGTAAGACGCAGAGCCCCACACTCTTGGCTGATGAACTAGAATAGCCAGACAAAAACAGATAAACAATCATCATGCATCCTTCCTTCCTTTCCTGCACCACTCTAGTGCCAGCTATCTCCAAGAGGTTTTAAGCTAAGTGTTTCTGTGGCTGCTCTTCACAAACCCTGAGAGGTCCTTCTTCTCCTTTGTCGGAAGTGATGCTGAGGTTTCCTAACTCCTTGAGGACTCTACTTTTGCTGCTCAGTTTGGGCGAGTGTACAAAGACCTACCAGGTTGTTTGCCATTCAATTGTAGGCCCTTAGATTTAACCTTCTTGAGACCCAAAATGTTGCTTTGTAAATTAACATTCTAAACCTTTTCTGTCCACTCCTTTCCAGTACAAATTTTCTCTAATCTTTCCGTTGTTACAATCATGTCTTCTGCTTCCCTGTGCATCCTGACATTCAGAATCAAAAGATTCTGAATGTCAAATGGCTTTCATTATTTTAGCCTTCTTAAAATACAGACACATCTCTCCTGTGAATTAATAAAGACTGTGGGAATTAGAGCATAGGAGCTTTAAGGTACCCATGAATTGCAAGATATTTAAAAATATCATTATTGTATTTTCTAGGAGGAGAGATCTTGCACTTAATCAACACAGGGTTTTCTGCCAGAAATATTTCTAATAAGGAAACAACTGAGCTGGAACACATCTTTCTTGAAAACGAATGCCAGTCATTAAACTGGCTCACAGCATTTCCTGTGAGCTTTCACCACACTAGATTTGTGGAGGGTCTAATTATCTGTCAGATAATGAAAAATTAGGCACTCGGAGATTAATTAATCAATGTGGATAAATTACACTGGAGATGATAAATGTTTCCTCAAAGAGAAAGAATGGAAGCTGCCCAGGTGGTAGCTGGTTCCTCGGCCTGGCCTTCAGTATTCCCTGGAGGATAGTTTCTCAAACGCATAGGGTGAGGTCTTTGGGATGCTAGGGGTATCATCTTTGTAATCACCCCTTCCCAATGTATTGACTCAACTATTTTCTGACGAATTTTACTTCCATTCATTTATTCCAGTCACATTTGTATCATATCCTTACTTGGATGCCATATCGATTGGTGTCATTTCTCTGGTTTGATACCAAGTAAACCCACCAGGCTGCTAACTCAGGCTCCTTACATAAAACGCAAGCTTGACTCTGTTTTCCTGGAAGAAGTTGACATTCTTTTAATCCACCATCTGCTTAAAACACTCCTGGCAATTCTCTGCCAAGGAGAGCCATCAGAGGGACTTTGTTTCAGGCTGAACTCCAAGAGCATTATCTTTTTAAATAATAATTCTCAATTATAAGAGAAACTTATAGTAAGAAACTTCTACATAAATTATAATAAGAAACTTATTGTTATTATTATTATTAGTTTTCCTTTTTATTAGTTATGAAAGCTCAACTGTTTCTCACAAACTTTGCAAGGATAGCATTCATTACCTTAGCTACATAGTCAGACTGAAGATCACTAAAACCGGCAAAGCCCCCCAGAAGTCTTCCACATCTGTTCATCGATCTTTGAAGTTAATTCTTTACTTTTCCAAAGAGCATTTCGTGAACACTTACAATATTCCAAGCATGGCTTTAAACAATTGAAAATGATCATTAAACAAAAGGGACAAATATCCCAGACCTTATCCAACTCGTATCAAGGTTAGTGTGGACTTTTAATCTGAAATCTAGTAAATAAGCACATAATATAGAATTTTGAAGATGATAAAATATGGCAAAGCAGGGTACTCAGAGACAGGTATGTGAGGACTGGGCAGAGTGGTGGGTTGTAAGATTATATAGATTGTCTAGAATAGTTTTCACTGTAAAGATGAGTTTTGAGAAAAGACACAAATAAAAGAGTGAGCCAACCAATCAATATATAGGATTCAGTGTTTCAGGCAATGTATAAAGTTGGAAACAAGTCTAAGGCAAGAAAGTACACAACAGGAATTAGCAATAACAAGGAGGCCAATTGGTGCCACCTGAACAAGCAAAAGAAATGTACTCCTACAGTAGGTAAATGGACACAGAGATGAAGTTGTCCAAGAGCCAATTTCTCAATCTGGGACAGAAAAAGAATTGGAGATTCTGTCCATGCTACTTAGTGACTGAAATAAACATAAGAAAGTTTAAGGGATGGTCCCCTGTCTAGACTAGTTATGTCATTGAATTCACAGCAATGTGGCCATTTGCAGAGTCTTAAAAAAGATATAGTGTGGAAGAAGCCTTGGTAACCACTCCCTCATCATAATTTAAAGAAAAACTTTCCTATAATAATTAATCTTGATTATAACCTTGGTGGGAAAAGGGTAAGAGATAAGTAAATCACACCTCTGGGTATGTATATTTAAGGGTATTTCTAGAGAGCATTAATTTTGGGGGAAAAGCTATTTTGAATGTGGGTTTCAGTTTGATGGAAAAGAAGATACTGCACAGAGAACTGGAAAAATAGAAAGTACCTTGAATTTTCCGAAGTTTGTCACTGTTGCAAGAAAAAATAATTATATCAACTCCCACCTTTTAAAACCTATTATTAGTATTTCCTGATTTAATCAAGAAATACTCTTATTCCAAATACAGACAGAATTTTCTCAGGAATAACCAGTGTGTGGTGGTTCCGGAATAGTTATCCCAAAAATCCTAGTGGGGTAGTATCAATTAAGAACATTTCAAAGGAATATTCTGCTTATTTTTTCAGGGAACCAGGGAGGAAGGATACACAAACCCTGCAATGGCTTCTCAGGATGCAATGGTAACCAGAATCAGCTCTGTGCCTGATTATCAGGACCTTTGTTAGATTGCTTTGAGCTGATTCTGATGCTGCTTCATGACTGTGTGGTATTCCAGGTCCTGTGGGAAGCCTGCCAGCAGAAGACAGGGGAGCACAAAACCATGCTACAGATGATCCTGTGCAACAAGAGCTATCAGCAGCTGTGGCTAGGTAATTAGGGATTCAACTGCTTTGTGGCCACTTAACCAATTAGATAACAAAACGTTACAGGTGGGTTAGAAAGCAAAGGAAGAAATGTTACATCAAAATAAATCAGTTATCACGAAGACATTTAGTGTAACATGTTCATAAAAACACATCAAATGATAGAACTAAGGGGAGGGGCGGAGGTCCTCATAAGTTTATTGTTTTTCCAGTAATTGAATTCTAGTATCTTCAAACACTGACTCTTTAAATAACAATGATCACTGTTTGTGAGACACCATACTACTTCCTACTCTGTGAGTTATAGGTTGTCTTGAAAAGTGATGAGGGCATGTAGTCACTCAACCCACAATGAATCAAAGCCATGGTGACCGTTGCCCTTTAATTCTGCCATACTGGCCTCAGAGGTGAACTCCTTTGTTTAACTTTCTTGAAATACGTGCACCTCTCTTTCCCCCTTTTCTTTTGAAAAAGCTTTTTATGTGAGAGAAGTCGGTAACATTATTTTAAGGTCAGGCACAGTAATACACCTCTGTGATTCCCAACACTGGAGAAGCTGAGACTGGAAAAACTCAATTGAAAGCCAACCTACATTACAGAGCAAGCACCTTCTCCCTTCTCTACCCCCCACCAAACAAAATTTGTTTTAAATGGCCTCCCTGGTTCCAATCCTGCTTCTATACCCATATAAAGGTTACTTACATATGAGATTATACTTACATGTCAATTCCAGATGATAAGTATAAAATAATAATGAGGTGCCTCATTGTCTCTCATTTGCTGCAAAAATGGGTGAAAACTAAAGCCTTCCTAGGAGAAAACCAGACAAATAAGTTCCTGAAATAAAGAAGCATAATTCTCAGCTGTCAAACTCTATTCTTTACAGATTTTTATGTCTGTTATGTTTATTATCACTAGGAGGATTTTCTTACACTTGACTTTCATATTTAAACATCAGTAGAAAATGTGTTGTTTTTCTAAGTTGTGTGTGTGTGTGTGTGTGTGTATCCTAAACAAAAGATGCACAAATACTGACTAGCCATTCTTTTCTTCTCAATTTAAGTCAGCAGTAAATGACTGAGCCCCACTAAGGGTAGACATTGTTCCCTGGCAGAAGAGCAAAAGCAAGTCTTTGAGTCCAAATTTATTCCAACTCTACTTAAATTGTATTTGTTTAGAAGGATAGATGATCACACAACTGATAATAGTATTTTCAGTTATTTGAAAGATAACTTTTTTATCTCTACTGAGTATGGTAAGCTAATCGATACTTATGTTTTAAATAATTACATTCGTAAAAAAAAATTCCTTTTAAATGTATCATGTGTTGAAGTTTTCCAGGAATTTCAAAATATCTCTGGGCAAGACTTAGTAGATGCCATTAATGATTGTTATGATGGATACTTTCAAGAACTGCTAGTGGCAATTGGTAAGTTGTAATTTATAGGCTATACCGTAACCTTTTATTTCACAATGAATGCTAACTGGTTTCGTGTGCATTACAGGTAAATGAATAAATGCTTTATTGAGTCATTTTTCCCTGAACACCATCATATAAGAGTGCTGTAAGCTCTTTACAAGGAAAGTCTGTCAGCGAGTGATACAAAGCACCAAACTGACAACTAATGATTTTTTAATCTTTTTATTATCTTTAAATAGTTGTTCAAAGGAGTTGGCAGTCAACAAAGTGGTTTATGAATACAATGAGCCTTAATCCATGTCACCTCTTTCAATATTCTCATCCACGCCTCCCTCCCTGACCCTTCCTCACTTTTATTAACTGTGTAGGATATATATATATATATATGTATACATATACATATATATATATATATACATATTCTCCTGCTCTTCTTCTCTTCATAACTCCTTAAAAACTGGCTCATTTTTTATGCTAGGATACACAGAATTTTCAGATGCCATCTATCGAGAACTAAAGTTCTCACACAAGGTTGTTCTTCGACATTCATTCGCTGACTTCATTCTTGGATAAATGCTAGCAAGGGGGCACTATGATGTCTTTCTTGTCTTTAAGAAGCAAAGGGATTGTTGGCTTAGGCTCCTTGTTTTTGTTACTATCTCTAATAAACTTACCTTTCGGAATAAATCCCACTATACAAAAGAGATTTACCATGCTGTTATTTATTAGTGATTTGGCAGGCTATTCTGAAACAGGCATACCTCCTCTCCTTCCTAACACATTCCTGTAGAGGGAAAAGAGCTGGTAATCATTCATAAACATTACTGGAAACCACATGGGCTTTACTTTGTGCTATGATTTCCAGCACACCTTGCAGATATTATGAAGAGTCCTACTGAAATATTCCTACTGAAATATTCCTATAGTTGGTACTTAACAGCAATCACCTAGAAAGATACTTGTTAAATAAGTGAATATTGTGATTTTCTATTCACAAACATACATGGGCATGGGAGTTTAGAAATAGCAAATCTAGTTATCTAGTAAAGGAGTTTTGATCGGCAGTTCCATAAATATATAAATATATTTTGATGGTTTCCACGAAACCCTTAAAACAGTACACAAAATATAAAGATTGATGTCTTTGTATTTTTCTACAGGGCCTACTTTTCTTTGTAATTAAAAACATATGAGAAAGCTGAATTTATGGTCTCGTAAATTTAAAAAGTTCCTTGAGATTATTGATGATGACTTCATTTTGGCTTGAAGTTATAGTCTCTGCTACATTACTAATTCATTTAGGAATCTCTTTAGTTATCCAAGTAAGAACTACCAAAGATCTATAATCATTGAGGACAATTTTTGAGCAGGTTCAAGGCTATTCAAAGCCATAGCAGGTTTGCATCGATGACATCTAAAGCTGGCCTAAGACTTGCCATGATCATTATAATTTCTCTTTAAAATATTTTGGGTCTACTAGCAAATCTATTAAGGACCTGAGACTCTTAAGGATGAACTGTGCTGAGAATAACCAGCTAGAATTCATATGAATGCAAAGCATTCCGAAGGATGAAGTGCAGGTCTATGTTACCTAAATCCCTCAATAATAAAAACTAATCATCCATGATGACCCAGGTCTCCTTGAAGCACTGTTAAATTTTCAGTTGAAGAAATAAATTTGCCTCCACCAGGCTAACTGGAGGAGCTAAGAGTTCTAAGAGGTAGGGATGGATGAAATGAAAATATAAGAGAATCATTATTAATGGTGCTTTATATTTTCCAGCAGAGTACCGTGTAGCTATTATTCTAAGTGTTGAATTTATAATACAATGGAAAGGTGGTATTAGAGTCAAAGAAGTGTTGTGTTTGTTTCTCAAAATCTCGAGAAATTGTGTCTTGTCACTCAGTTGTCTTCTCTATGGTCTTTCCTAGTTCTCTGCGTCCGAGACAAACCAGCCTACTTTGCTTATAGATTACATAGTGCAATTCACGTAAGTAAGACCCACATCACTTAAAATTTTTTCCAAGGACCAATTTTACTTCTATCATTTCAATATTGATTCTAATTTCTTAACTTTTATGAACATACATGCTTTTCAAAGAAAACAAATCCAAGCAGATAAACAGTATTAAACACCAGACTTATGATTCATCAAATAAAAATAGCCATTGGATTTTGCATCAAATTTATGTACTTAAGGTGTATATTTCTTTGGGGTATCTATCTTTCACACACTTCTCAATACTTACAGATACTGATCAATCAAATACTTTTGTATTATTTTCAAAGCATCATGCTAAACCAAGGACAAGCACATGCCACGGAGCAGAAGAAAGTCTCATTAAAACAAACAAATCCTGCCACACTTTTCAAGGTCGAAAATGCAAAGCAATTCAAAGTGTTACTTTTTGAGATACTGGAAAACAGTAAACTCTAAAGCCATTTTTGCAATTGAATGGAAACATTTCTCATGCTTCACTGTGATCTTCAGTTACATGGTTTCTGAAGGAATTATTTCTATGAGAACAACTACTTAACTGCATTATATAAGGCACACCTTACCCATGATGTACATGAACATAGTAGAAAAATGAAAGGTTTCTGTAGGTCAGTATACATATGCCATAACCTTGAAAAATGAAGAAAAACTAAAATGGTCAAATAGTTCCATTAATGTAGTATTCAATGAGTTTTATCTTCAAAGTTATTTTTAATTTATTATAGCATATGAATTATATAAAACATTAAAAACATTTTGATGTTTTATACATGTATATTCAGTACTCCTAGTAAATTGTACAGGCCAATCTCTTGAAATTAAATACCTGCATGCTGGGAAAATATGCTAGCATAAAAATATATTTGATCATATGTTGTGTGTACATGGAGTGTCTTTATTTATGTATAATAAGCTATAAAATCACAGAACTCAGGAGAATGATCCATATTTCATAGTCTTTTCTTTAATTCTATTTTCAAGGAGCAAAGATTGGTTTGATTAAACATTAATTTATTTGAAATAGCATATCAGATACTGCCATCAGATAATTTCAACAACTTCTTTCCTCAAAGAACCAACTTCCATGACAGAATACAACTATTTGCTTGTGAAAGACCCTGAAAAAGCAATCATAATTCCAGCTATGAACAAACTCAAGGCTACTTATCCCAAGGACAAATAAAATTTATCCTTATTATGTGTGTGTTAAGCAGGAAGAGGGAAAGTTCATGTATTCACAACTTATTTGGAGGAAAGTAGAGAGTTAAATACTCAGTCACAGTAATATTCAATCAAAGTCATCACAATTTTTATGTATAAGGCCTTTGACTATGAAATATTCATCCAAGTTCTTTTCACTTCCCCTTAAGCCTTTCATCCAAGGCACTTTAAATGATCTACAGTTCAAAACAGAAAGCTTGGTTAGATCATTCATTTGTTCATCACCTCAAATTATTCAAAAGTGCTTTGATTCTAAAATATTCAGACATCAAAAACTAGATTATACTTGCTGGCCACCAGATGTCACCAGGATTCCATTTGCAAAGCAATGAACACCTGACACAGACATTTTTGAATGACATACATACACCCTTACTGACTTCTGTATGTTACAATATTTGAACTTGAATCAACAACTGTTTGGAATATTGATTTTTCACCATTTTTCCATAGTGAGCCTGCAAAATGGAAATGTGATCATTGTCATAGATGTATGTAGTGTTTGTCTCCATTCAGTATTTGTTCCACAGGGAAGAATGTTTACCTAGGATCAGATTTGTGATGAAAGAGACAGTATGAAGACTGAGGAGTGTAGAGAAAAGAGAGATCACTGCCGAGTCAGGGAGAAATGATGAGGGTCAGAATGGAGGCTGTAACTGAAGAAAACGATTCAGTGTGAGCACCATGAGGTGGGGGGGGGGGGGTTACAGGTGTCACAGGTGACTCTCCCCATCTGACCTGAGAGCTTCATACACAGTGATGTCACACTGAGCCTGGCAGGTAGAAGGGCAGATCTCTATGATGAGAAAAAGGAGGTCACTGCATTTTGGGACAGACTGACTTGAGGGTTTAGTTCTGACTTTCTTGTTTTTCTGTCTCTTTTAGGATTTTGGTTTCCATAATAAAACTGTAATCAGGATTCTAATTGCCAGAAGTGAAATAGACCTGCTGACCATAAGGAAGAGATACAAAGAGAGATATGGAAAATCACTGTTTCATGATATCAAAGTAAGTCTGTGTGTGATTTAACTCACGTTCTATGCTTCATGAAACGGGCATAGGATTTTTAATCGTAATGCTCACATGTGAGAATCTAGAATGTAAAATATTTCAATAAGGTTGATCTACTTTAATAACTCAGGTAACATTTCATGTATCAATAGGTGCAATCTAGGAAGCACTGCTACCTCAATGATGCAACTCTAGCTCTCTGGTGTAAGCAAAATCATTAGTGCACTTAGGCCAAATAGTAATCCCTATCATTGCGCTTCAAGAGTTACGGATGACCTGGACCAGAAAAATATGTAAAAAGGATTCATATACCAGTCCAACTCTCCTCTTGTACAGTCATAACCAAGTAACATCAACTAGTAATTGGAAGACATATTGTCAATTTACTTTTGAAACTCCACATTGATTTTAAATAATTATAATAATAATAAATTATAAAATAAATAATATAAATATAATACAAATATGTTACTTATTAGATACAATTGATATTATATAATATAGACTGTATTTTATATAATTATAATTATTATATCATTAGTTTGTCATATAAATATATGAATCATAAATAAAATAATAAAACAAATAAATGCTTATATATTATATAGTAGATATTTATATATTATTTTTTATATTATGCTATATAATATATAACATAACATATATGATAGAATACATAAATATGTTATATATTGTATATTATATATTTATACTATATGTTTATATTATATAACTTATTATATAATATAAATATAAATTACAACATAGATAACATCATAATAAGGTACCTCTTTATAAATTAAAGAGATTCCATTTTAATGCAAGTTATTTATATACATTAGAGCTGCATCAACTATACATAAACTGCTTAATAATGATTATAATAACCATGATATATTTGTTTCAATGACTTTCATTTAGAATAATTCTTAGATCTTTAGATTTAAAGTAGAAAAATAATTCAAGAAAAGCTAAGGGTTCATGAATTTTCTATACTGCAATTCAGAAGAATTAGGATTATTTTCTAGAAACACTATGAGATTTTGAGTGTATTGTGGTCTCTTTTTTCAGAATTTTGCCTCAGGGCATTATGAGAAAGCACTGCTTGCCATCTGTGCTGGTGATGTGGAGGATTATTAAAATAAGGAGAAGGAAAAATCTGGAGGATCTGAACTCTTCTTTATAGACACACCAAAATAAACATTTTCTGTCAGATGTTTGCTGCTATTAGCACAGTAATGAAACTACACAATTATATTTTTCTTCTCTCTTTCAAATTATTTCATGTCATAAAATCTATTTCTGATACATATGATCCTGGATTTGGATTTGTTATTCATTTATTAATTAAATTGAACATGATGGAACAATAAGGAAAAAATTGTGTTGAAATAGGATTTATTTAAAAGTGAATCATCAATTCCCCACGGCAAGAAAGTCTGCTCAAGATTGTCCTTCACATGATTTGGGAAATTATGGAAGATGCACTGTGTGATCATCCTGGTTGGAGGAATTTTATAAGCACTTATAACAAATACAATAAAGCTAAAGTAAGCTCTTAAAGAAAATATATAAAACACAAAATGTACTTACTAACATTTCAAGAGTCTTCCATGCAAAATTAGGAATGAACATGTGTATTATGTTGTGTGTATGTGTGTGTGTGTTGGTTGTACTTATAACCATTGTGTTAAAGGAAATTTCGCTACTTTTTGCTTGTTAGCCATGAGCCTTGAACTTAAGAGCCTGGGCACCATCCCTGAGCTCTTTTGTTCAAGGGGAACACTCTTCCACTTTGAGACACAGCTCTACTTCCTAGCTACTTTTTAAATAGCACTTAATCAAATGCTAAAAAAAAAAAAAAAAAAAAGCCATGCTCGTTGATTTTCCACTTCTTTAACATCAACTTAACTGACTTTAGGAAGTTATATGCATTGGGTCATCATTGGAATCAAGTCCCTTCTCTCTCAAGATGCAGCAAATGAGGAGGGAAAAAGGAAAAACTACAGAGATTACATATTGGGGAAAGCCTAAACTAATTCTACATGGATTTCCAGAGGCAGAGTGTCCACATCTAACACTGAGGACTCCCAATGCAAGCAAATAACCACTAACACCAAGATCCACAGGATGTGGTGGTAAGTTAAGCCAGGCCAGTCACCACGTCATGATGAACCATGAAGATAACCGAAGTGTTGTCAGTAGCCTATAGTATAGTCTTTGGGAATCTTCTCCTACTGATCTGAGGGAGGCTAAGGTTGAAGATACAATCTGAAGCTAGTATTGGACAGGTACAATGAAATCAGACATTTTACGCTCAATTCAGAGCACATGTTCCACTTAATAATAATGAAGACTAAATTCTCAAGATTTCACTTTATTGTTATGATTTATGCTGAGATATTTTAAATTGGGTTTGATTTCTATTTCTAAAAGGTCATAAATAATATTTCATGAAAAAACACTCTTCAAAGTACATAACATACATATTATTTTTTTCCAAACTAAAACTCTTGAAGAAGAAAACTGTTAGGATCCCCTGCTTCATTAGTAGTGGAAACATTCTGAAAATGTATACTTCGGGTAGATAATAGATTTCTTTGTGACAACATGCTGTTATCAAATCAAAAGCAAATCTAGACTTGGTATAAGTGCAGCTGCTACAATAGGCAAAAAAGAGCTATTGCAACCAGGCCAAGAGAAGATAGTGCTAAGAAGAGTGAGATGTTCTGGAACTCCAAGATCAGCCAGAAAAAGCACTCGGCTTTTACAGGGATGAGTAAATGAGGCCAGAAAGAAATGAGGATACCAGCAGGTGAGAGGAATGTGTGCTATGAGATGCATTTGTGGCTAGTCTCTAGAAGCAATACAAGTAGGAAATGAAGGCTTAAGGTAGAGTTGTAAATGGCCTAAGGCATGAAACACAGAGCCAAGATAATATGATGTGTCTTGGATCTGGGTATCTTTACTTGGCAGTTCAAGCCATAGTTGATCCCACCAGGAGACAGGGATGAGGGAAAGCTCCCTGTTCTTCTCAAATGCATTTCTTCCCAGGGTCATACCATTTGTGTCCAGAGATTTCTCCATGGATAATTGGCTACAAATGGAGTGAAAGATATAACTATTTTACACAGTGTTGCCAAGGGTAAGAGATATAATCAATTTTATTTCTTTTTTATTTTCTAGACACTTATATACAATGAAAAATAAAACATCAGTCGTATGTTTTCCCTTAAAGCATCTCATTCATACTTAGAAGAAAGTAATTTTTTTACTCCAATAAACATTTCAATAGCTAGATATCTAAATCATAAAGTCCTAGTTATGTTAATTGGAAATAATATATTTCACTTTCTGATAATTCCATCACATTTTCTAGCCTTAAGAAACATTTTATGAATCTGGACAGTGAGGAGAAATGTATTTTTAATAAGGTTTTTTTTTATTCTGAAAATACCATACAGAGGGGTTACAATTACATAAGCAAGGTAATGAGTACATTTCTTATCAAGCGTTGTTGCCGTTGGTTGCCTCCTCCCTTTTTTCCCCTTCCTATCCTTGCCCTCCCATCCCTCCTCCCTCCCCCCAAAGCAGTAAAATTCGTTTTTCCACATAGCATCTTGTACATTTCATTTTTGCAATGGGCCCACCTGTATTCCTATTTAAACATTTGTTTTTTTTTCTTCCCCTCCCAAAATTATACCAACATCAAATACAGTGAAAACAGGGGTTAAAATACAGTGAGAAACTTGTTCTTTAATTCCATATAGAATTTTTGTACTTTTTGTCACCTGTCCCTCAATAGATCTCCACTCCATAACAAAAATCTTCTCTGACACAAAACCCCAAGTATCATGAACGTAACTTGCAAAACTTCTCTGAAAGTATTTTGCGTCAGTTGCATGCTTTTCACTTTTATATTTTCTTAAATTTTTCAGAAAAGGTTTCACTCAATTGTTCAAATGCTAAAACGACATTATCATCTTCATTTTCACACAGTTCACGCAACGAAACACTGCAAATAGAAAGAAAGAAATGTTTCTAGCACCAATTTTAGTGACAATAAATATTATGGGTAGGCAGAAGTATATCCCATAAAATGATGAGGTAATATTAACAAAATGGGAAAAAGAAGGAGGAGGAGGAAGAGGAGGAAGACAGTGGGGAGGAGGAAGGGGGAGAAGAGAAAGAAGAGAAGGTAGAGGAGGAAAGGGAGGAAGAGGAAAAAGAGAAGGAGGAGGGAGAAAAAGAGGGAGGAGGAAGAAGAGGAGAAGGAGGGGGAAACATTTCTTTGTAGCTGTGTGCCAGTAGCTCAAGCCTGTAATCCTGGCTACTCAAGAGGCTGAAATCTGAGGATCACAGTTGAAAGCTAGCCTGGGTAGAAAAGTTCCTGAGACTCATCTCTAAGAAACTACTCAAACAAGCTGGAAGTAGAGCTCTATTTTGAATGGTAGAGTGTTACCCTTGAGCAAAAGAAGCTCAAGGACAGTGCCCAGGCTCTGAGTTCACACCCCAGTACTAGAACACACACAAAAAAAAATTCTTTGTAAGAATCTACAAAAATATAAAAATAAAAACAAGGGAGGAGGGGAGGGAAGAAACAGAACAAAAAATCTTCTATGTAGTTCCTCTGTTACCAAGAGTATTTGAAACATCACCAAGTTCCATATGGCTTGACCACCTCTCTCTTTCAAACAGTACAACATAAATTCCTTTTCTTTTTTTTTTTGGGGGGGGGGTCAGGTTGTGGGTGGGGCCTGAACTCTGGGCCTGTGCGCTGTCCCTCAGCTCTTCAACTCAAGGCTAGAACTCTTCCACTTGAGCCACAGCGCCATTTCCGGCTTTTTTCTTTTTGCGTATGTGCTGCTGAGGAATTGAACCCAGGGCCTCATGCATGCAAGGCAAGCGCTCTGCCACTGAGCCACCTTCCCAGCCCCCCTTTCTTTTTTATTTCATCCAAGAGTCCTTCTCTAAAACCAAGTGGCGTCACTCCCTATTTGCCATTATCTCTACAACTCTGGTGTGTATGTGTGTGTGTGTGTCTCTGTGTGTGTGTGTGTGTTCAACTCCACTAGAAATTATTTTGTGTTAGGTTCTTAAAAAGAGGTAACCGAGTAAGAACAGCAGCACGCACGTGGTATTCAGGTAAGGGGTAGGTTTATTCAGTAGACCTGCTGGGACCAGGCAAGGTTGGCACTCCACGTGGCTGGGAAAGGCCTGGGAATAAGAGAGAGCTGGGAAAGAGAGGAAAGAGAGAGGAAAGAACTAGAAAAGAGCAGAGAGAGCAGAGAGAGCTAGAAAAGAGCAGCAAGAGAGCATCTGGGCCTGCGCTAGGCCTTATGTAGGGTATGGGCGGAGAAAGGTGTGGCCACATCAAATTCAGATGTGACCTCTTCCAGGTGTCCCAGTTGCCTAGGTAATGCAGATACTGGGTGGAGACTTTGCTGCGAGGAGGGTGGAGTCTGCTGGCCATCCAGGAGCGGACCTTACAGTAAGTACGTGTAAATTTACTGATTTTCCATCTCAAGTGCTTACAGGTGTCTCAAGCTGATAATACTTCCATACATACTTGTCAAATGAATATATGAATGGATGACGTTTTGTTGTCAGCCATGGAGCTTGAACTCAGGGCCTGGGCACTATCCCTTAGCTCTTTTGTCATTTAACCAGGCACCATTAGATGACTAATGAACACTAAGGACAGAGGGAACTGATATGAAGTTTGATAGTATGTGACTTTCCAGTGGGCTCTGTTGGATATACAAGAAGCCAAAATGAGAAAATGCTGGTTTAAGCAAGAGATTGATGAGTAGGCAAGTGGTATAAACTAGAGACTTGATGCAGCTCAGCAGGTGCTTTCAGTGATCATATATCTGACACACGTGGCTTGTGACAATGGACACTATTGGGGTCTCAGCTCCATAAATCCTTGGAATATTGTTGCCTGTTAATGTACAATGCCTTGAGCTGAGGCTGGGGTCTGGTGGAATTTAATATCCATAGATTTTGGAACTCCTCCTACCACAGAAACACGCAACATGGTATTGAGAAGTTCTGCCAACTCCCTAGGAAGCCGAAATGTCTAAGATGTAAGTTGTTCAATGCCATCTTCACAAAAAGAACTCAACTTATTTTGCAATTCGAATTAAAAATATAAAGTGAGTATTTAAATAGATAACATACCTGATAGACTTAACAGTAAGTGAAAAATCTTTCAACAAGTTGTAAGCTTCTCCTTCATTTATTCTAAATAGCAAAAAAGACAAAAACGGTATAGTACCACTTATTAATTTAACAGCTACTTTGTTCACAATAATAAATTAAATTTAGAAAACAAAAATGTCTTGTCAGGTATAGTGGTGCACACCTGTAATCCCAACACTGAGGAGGCTGAGGCAAGTGTATCATGAGTTCAAGGCAAGCCCAGGCTACATAGTGAGACCCTGTCTCAAACACACACACACACACACACACACACACACACACACACACACACACATACATACATACACACAAACTCACAAATACTTCACATTTCTGAAGAGCACTGGCATTTACATTTCTTTGTTTTAATAAGGATTATTCATATTTTACTTTAAAAATATTGAATTCCTGATTTTGATAAGTCCATCTCTATATCTATATGCTCTTCACTAGAGCCATTTCTTCCCTTCCCAGATAAATCCAAATGTTTATTCCTGCTTGCTTTTATGGATGGTTAATTGGAGATAAGCGTCTCATGAACTTTGCTGCCAGGACTGGTTTTGAACCACGATCCTCAGATCACAGCCTCCTGAGTAGCTAGGATTACAAGAGTAAGTCACTGGCACCTAGCCCTGCTTGGTTCATTTGAAAATGCCTTCCCTGCCAAAGAGCTACAGCAATTGTCATGGTCTCAGACTTCAGATATGTGAATTACATTCTTTACATATTAATCTCATCAAATACTAGACAACAAGGGCTATCATTTGTCATCCAGAATAAAAATAACTCATAATGAATAAATAGAATAACAATAAGTTGGAATATATCTGAGTATTCACAAATATTTAGATCTTTAGTGTATTCCTTTGTGTCAAGTAAGCTGGCCTAAATGCCAAGAGTTTGTGGTAAACAATATACCAAAATAGTATAGAATGTGTCATTGTCTGTTGCCATTAAACTTGTCAAGAAAAAAAATCTAATTTGTTTATCATGGTTAGCCTATATCTGAAGTTATAAGGATTATTTTTCTCTAAAATTCATTAAATTCATTCCTTAGAGATACGCAGGGAGAGACAGAGACAGAGACAGAGATATCATACCTGTTGTCCTGGACTAACCCTTTCAAGGAGCCATGTTTGTAGAAGTCAAGTATGTAAGCATTAAGTGGCATTCTTCTTCCTTGACTGTCAAATTTTTGTGGCAACAGTAAAGGAGCCTGAGCATAACTGATACCAAGGGTGCGTAAAATGTTCTAAAAACCAAAAACACCAAAATCTTGTTAATCTGGAAGGCGAATTAGTAGCTTCTTACACGCTACCTGGTAGCAGTTCCCTCGCATAAGCAATACACACTATTCATGATGAAAAAGAGGCGCCTTAGCTCCATCCATGCAAATGACAGCTTCCATTCAGAGCAAGTTCAACCACTGAACTACAGAAACAGACTAAGAAAAACAGAAACCTGATTTAGAATTGGAACTATATGACTGTCAGTGTAGATCAGATGGCTGTGCAAACACAGCATCGAGACTTATGAAGTTGCATGTCAGAAGAGAAAACATGTCTAGTGATCTTTTAGAACTCAACTACCAAAATTTTTTATTTTAAAAAAGGAGAAGAATCAAAGAGAGGACAATCAAAAGAGAAAGAAAGCAAATAAAGTTTTCTGTGTCCACTCATTTTGGCAAACTTTATTAGCTAGAGTCACTAGAAAATCTAGTATGCATCTAGTGAGAATACAAATTGGATCAATAACTTTCTAAAATGAGTGAATAGTAGTAGCCTGTAAACTTGAGCATTTGAGTATTTTATTTTCTTAGGACACAGAAAATCATTTTAACCCAGGAAAAGCTATACTTCAGAGAAATTTATATATGTGCACTAGGCATTCATGGCAAAAGAAGAATTTGGAAACAGATCAGTCATTAGCAGCAGAAACAAATGAAATATAAAATATTATAAAGTAGTTAAAAATAAAATACAGATCAATTTCCCAACACAGATGAATCTTCTTGAGGCTTAGCATTAAATCCACAATTTAAGAAAAATCACTTCAAGATTTAAATGCAAGGATAAGTAATGTGTGATTTTGTGATAGAATTTTGTAAAAGAAGAACAAAAAACAAAGTTTTCCCTTATTTGCAGTATCTAGTATATGCATGAGTCAAGCAGAAAAGGTCAGATAAGGTGATGTTAGGAAAATGAACCCTAAGATATGTATTTTAAATGTTTTTTTTCTTTCATGCATTTGTTTCTAACGCAATTATAAGATTATTTCTTTGTTGCTTTGTATGTCCCTCCCCCACAGCATAACCCCTGCTTTCACTGTATTTGATGTCGGTATAATTTGTG